AGACTGCGGTTCAGAAAATATTATAAGAGCGCTATCCTGGTGCTGAGCCCCACCTGCTTTCCTAGAGACGTTTTTCAAAAACAAAACAGAAAATACCCAAATGGTCTTCAAGAGTTACAAGTGTGTTCCTCCCTGCTAGGCCTGATGTAGAGATGACTGGGCCCTGAGCAGGCTGCTGGCTTTTCAACCTACAAGCCAAGATGGAGAGCGGCTGAGGCTCTGAGAGGACATCAATTCCCCACGAATCATTTCCCTCCTGATTCAGGGGGTCCGAGAACTAAGCCTACTGAAGTCTGACCATACTTTATCATGCCTTCATATACAGCAAGGGTTTTGAACTCAGGAGGATTTGGAACTTGAACCACTTAATTGAAGGCCCGGACAAGATCAGGCCTCGAAACCAAGCAGGTTCAAGTACAAATGACAGAGTGGTTCCTCCAGGGGAAGCCCAGACAAAGGAAAGACAAAGCCGTGGGGGTCTGCTGCCTTTTCATACCCGTGCTCACAGTCAGGAAAACGGAAGCGCTGAGCACTGAAAACAGTCTCTGCTCTCTGCTGCTGAAGGGCTGGAAGGGAAGGCTGATTTCTACCACAAGCAGCTCAGGCACAGGTGGGAGGGCGACCACCCCGAACAGACCCTGACAGTGCGCCAGACGCTGGGACCTGGGCCGGGTCTGCTGTAGTTCCACTTCCAGATAAAGAAAGCCTGGCCGCACAGTCTACAACCCACTTTCTAATTGTGGCTAAAGAAGGTTGTTTAACAATGCAAATAAATGTAGAAAAATGCAGCGATGAGAGCTCCTGGCTCACCACTCCTGTCATAATTATACGTGTGGCTTCCACAAGATCCTTCCAACCATATGGGCTCTGTTTCTTGACCTCCTTTTCTCCAGTGATCCTGTGTCCTCTATCCTGGCCTGCTACTTCCTCCTGTGGTCATACCTGGCCTTTGTCATTGCCAGGTCTGCAACCTCCTCATGACCTTGGTTTTAAGCAGCACACTCAGGCCACCTACCTTCAGGCACACCCATGCGACCCCTACTCCAGGAATCCTTCCCAGCCCACCGACCCTCCTGCTGGCTCACTTTCCCTCCCCACCCCCAGGCCCTCACTTCTCTCCTGGCCTCCCGTAAATTTCATCGCTCCCTTGCATACCCCCTCAGTCCTCTGCCTCCTCTTATTTCATCGTACCTTCCTGGCAAACACTAACCCTGGCTGAATCCATCCCTCCAGCCACGCCAAGCCTGGGCATGCTCCTATGCAGCTGGCTAGAGAAATATCCATGCCAGTGTCGACTGGTCTCTCTACATATCATGGTTTCTCAACTTCAGCACTACTGACATGTTGGGCAAGATAATTCTTGGTGGTGAGGGGCTGGCCTGTGCCTTATGGGGTGTTCAGCAGCATTCTTGGCCTCTACCCACTAGTTGTCCCTCCACTGCCCTGCGTTGTAACAACCAAAAATGCCTGCAGATCTTGCTAGAAGTCCTCTTGGAGGCCAAACTGCCCCAGCTGGGAACTATTGCTTTATTTTAATGACTTCTGACATCAAGTGGGCCCTCAGCACTGTACGCATGTCCCCAATTCAATCATCCTTCCAGTCTCCTGGATGACTACTTTATGCCTTCCTTTGTCTCCTGAAGCCTCTACCTCCTTCCTGTCTCCTCACAGCCAGCTGATGACCTCTGCAGAGAAATAAAAGCAATCAGAGTTTCTCCCAGCTTCCACTACCAAACATCTGTGCCCACAATCTTTGCCTTCTCTCCTCTTGTGATGCTCCACCTGCGGTTTGCCTCTCAAGGCAACATCTCCAGCGATGTTTCCACCCCGTATCATTCCCATCAGCAAAACATGCCCTCAATTCCCCAACCTAAAAACAAACAAAACCCTCTTTATTTCAAAGCCTCCCTGAGCTATTGCCTGTTTCTCTACTCCCTCTCAAAGAACTGACTACACTTGATGTTTCTTTCTGTCTTCTATTCTCCTTGGACCCACCCCAATCAGACTTTAGCCCTATTATTCTGCCAGAAATGCTCTAGGCAAGGTCATCGACCAACTCACTATGTTAAATCCAATGAGCAGTTCCATCATCAGCCCGATAACTTCTCATAAAACATCTGACACAGCTGATCTCTCCAGCCTTGAACTACATTAAAAACAAAAAAAAAAATCCCTCTCGGTTTTCTTACTCTCAAGAATTTCCTTCTTTGTCTCTTTTGATGATTTCCCCCATCTCCTAAATTTCTAAATGTTAGAGGGTTCTAGGGTTCAGTCCTTGGACCGCTCCTCTTGATCTACACTTACTGTCTCGATGATCTTATACAGTCTTGTGGTTTTAAGCATCATCTGTATGATGAATCAAATGTGTGTCTCTAGCCCCAATCAGTCCCCTGAACCCCATTTCCAAAAGCCGACACTGTACCTCCACTGGATGTTAACTGAGCAAAGCCAAGTTCCTGCAGCCTCCCCCATCTTAGGAAATGACGACTCCACCTTTCCAGCTGCTTAGGCCAAAAATTTTAGTGTTCCTTCCTTCCTCTCCTTTTCTCACACCTTACACGAACACATCCTGTTGGTCCCACTTTCTGTATGTCCTAAGCAGAAGGCTGTCATCCTGGTCCAGGCCACCATCATTTCCTGCCTGGTTGTTTCAAAAATCTAACTGCTTAGAAGATGTCTCCCAGCTTCCATCCTTCCTTCTCTGTACTGTGATATCGACACTGCAGCCAAAGGGACTCTTTAAAATGAAGCAACATGGGGCGCCTGGGTGGCTCAGTGGGTTAAGCCTCTGCCTTCGGCTCAGGTCATGATCTCAGGGTCTTGGGATCGAGCCCCGCATCGGGCTCTCTGCTTAGCAGTGAGCCTGCTTCCTCCTCTCTCTGCCTGCCTCTCTGCCTACTTGTTATCTCTCTCTCTCTCTGTCAAATAAATAAATAAAATCTTTAAAAAAAAAATAAAATGAAGCAACATCATTTCAAGTCTCTATTCAAAATTCTCCAACGGCTGTCCATCTCACCTAGAGTCAAAGCTGGAGTCCTCACGAGGTCCTACGAGCCGGAACAGATGCAGCCGCAGGTATCGGCTGCACGACTCATCCCCATCCCCTGCTGCACGCCTCACTCCACGCTGACCTCGCTATTCCTCCCAAACACTAGACATATACACTCCCACCATCTGTCATACCCTCAGGTTTTACATGTTTTCTCCTCACTGCCCCCTAACCACTAGAATTTAAGTTCTACAGGGGCAGGGTATATGGGGTGTATGGTCACTGATGTGTCCCTAATGCCTTAAACAGCACCTGACATTGCTGAATGACCCCAACAGGATCTTGGCTTGAATTGTTTCAGCAGCTTCCCCACTGTTTATCGTGGAAGAGTCTGAAAGCCGCACTGTTACAGGTAAGACCCTCAGCCTTCCGACTCCTTCTTTTGCTGGCCTCATCTGCCATCAGGCACACACCTGAATATACCATGTGCTTTCACAATGCATGCCTTTACACAGAATATTAGCTTTGCCTAAAATTATCCCTTTCATGTTGTCCAGCCTAACTCCCGTTCAATTCAGTTCTTAGCTCCACATTATCTTCCTGGCAGTCTTGCCTGACTTCCTCAGGAGTGAGACACTCATTCCTTCATACTTCCTAGCAACCAGTTCTTACTCCAGCACACTACCGACCAGATTATGCCGAAAATGCTTGCATGACTGTCTTCCTCTGTAGCCTGTGACCTACTGGTGGGGAAAGAATGATCTTTTGTATTTGTACTCCCAGCACCTAGCACAGTACCTGGCACCAAACAGGTTTTCAGTAAACATTTGTTGAATGGATGCGAATGAACATAGGGGTAGCAGCACTGATGGAAAGCAAGGGACCGGTCCCTAGGGGTGAGCACAAAAACCACCCTGCCCCAACTCAATAATCTACACCGCGGTGTAGCACCCCCTGCTCCCCCAACTCCCATTTTATATCCAAGGCGCAGGGAAGGTTGTTAGTCTGCCATGACACCCCTCTCAGAGGGAAAAAGGTGACATTTACTATACACCTCCGACATTAACTCATTCATTCATCTAACTGTTCACAGAGCGCCCACTTTGTGCCAAGGCTCATCTCATTTGATCCTCGCAAACTCTCTCGGCATCCTCTCCATTTGTAGACGAGAAAGCCGGGGCTGAGGCTAATCTGCGTTAGGGTCCCAAAGACGTCAAGTGGCAGAGTTGGGAATTCACCGGTTGTCGGGCTCCGGACGGCGGTGCCGGTGTCCAGAGGGCTGGGCTTAAGAGGCCCTCACCTGAAGCTGCTGCGGCTCGGAGCCGGAGCCGGAGCCGCCGCCGCCGCCTTCTCCTCAACCTCCTGCTTGGCCGCCGCGTCTTGCAGCTGCTGGGCGCCGGTGTGGATGGTGGAGGCTGGCGCCCGGGCCACGACCCTGCGGGGAGGGAAAGCTCGGTGAGGTCCAGGCGGCTCAGGGACACAGGCAGGAGCGCAGTCGCGGGGATGACCGTGCGTTCGGGAAGGGGCTGGTGATCATTCTTACCTGGGCGTCGGTGGCCAACCCCAAGACCGCAAGAGCCAAGACCCCGTCTTTCGTACCACCTGCATGACTTGGATTGACCCCCGTCAGCTGCCGTCCGCGGCGACCTCGGGGGTTGGCGCAGCTGGAGCGGCACCAGCACCTCGAGTGCTCGTGGGGGGGGGGCGTACAAGGAAAATCGTCTCATTCCTCTCCTTGAGATCCATTAAAGATTTTCTATTCCTATTTAAATGCTCTGCAATAATTGTCGTTTCGAGTGCTAACTGGGAGTTTCTTTTCTTTTCTTTTTTTTTTAACTGGGAGTTTCTTCCCTTTCCCCTAAACTTTTTCGCCTTCCCCTCCATATTGGAGTGGTTCGTTCTGGTAGTTCCCGGGACAGAACTCTTCCGCCTGCCGCTCTCGCGCTGCCTTGTGGGAACATGGGATTGGCCCAGGACCCCGCAGGGAGCCGCGGTACATTGTGGGAGGGCAGAAGAATGGCGGCGCCCATAAGGCAGTCTCTGTTTGGGGTGGCGAAGGGCTGGTGGCGGTTCGAGGGGCTCTGGGCCGGTAGCCTGGGTTCTCGCAGCCTAGCCCTTGCGGCTGCACCCTCGATCAGCGGGTCTCCATGGCGTCTTTTGGGCGCGGTGTGCCTGCAGCGGCCACCGCTGGTCTCGAAGCCGCTGACCCCATTGCAGGAAGAGATGGCGGCTCTACTACAGCAGGTAGGATTGAAGTGCGGCTAGCGGCTTCAAGGTGCTGTTGGGGAACCAAGAGAAGCACGTGGGCCAGGGTTCGATCCCGTCTCCGGCACCAGTCTCAGTGACCTTGAGCAAGTCATTTCACCTCTCTGAACTTCAGCGTACTCAACTTGCGCAACGGTATCTACCTTACTGGATGGGTTTGGTACATAGAAGGTGTTCAGTAAAAGTTCGTTTTCATTGGGATTTTTTGTTGTCACGCCAGGCAACTCTGTAGAGTTGCTTTTCTTTCTCACTGAATATGGTAGGTACGCGGTGCTGAACAAGACGGCTTAGTTCCTATCGCAGGTAGTCTGAATGTCTGAAATTTAGAGTCTGATGTGTTTTAGGAGAATATAATGGGCACACATATAAGATGACTGTGATAAAGTTTGTGTGTGAGGGGCAAGTGAGGAAACAGGGGCAAATACTCAGTGTGGGGACTGTGAGGGGCTTAAATCCCCATTGACAGTGATTGAAGGTTGTTTCTGTAGAATCTGAGATGTTTTTTGTGTTGGCTGCTGGGAGCTCTAAACTTCACTTCCTGCTTTTTACTTGGCTCATTAACTTATTCTGCAAATAGTTGATTAATCATTTTATTGATAATCATTTATCGCCTATTTTGTATAGACACTGTGCTAAGTGCTAGGGACGAGTAAGACAGATAAGCCTTTGGTTCTCAGAGTGTTCAGTCTAGTGGAGGTGGGCGGGTCAATAACCAAATAATCACATGATTGTATAACTGCAGACCCTGGTAAGTGTAATAAAGGAAGACACAGGGTACTATAAAAGATTTTAACCGGGACATCTAATTTGATTTTGTGGCTGGTGTCCAGAAATACCCCCCAAAGAATATGGTACTTAAATTGAAATCTGAAGGATGCGTAGCAATCTCCTCGGAGAAGAGCATGAAGGAAAACATTCTAGGAAGAGGGAACAGCATCTGTAAACTCCCTGAGGAGTTTGGTGAGATCAAGGGCTGACAGGGCTGGAGTGTGGTTAAGTGGGCAGGCGGCGCCCCTCCCAGTTCTCTGTTCTTTGTAGCAGCTTGACCTCCAATCACATTCTAACATTTTAGCAAATGTAACTCAAGCCCAAAGTGCAGATGACTGTTTTTCTTTCCTTTTATTTTCCTGTGGTCTTTTAATTGTATGTCTGGTTATGCTGGGTGATGTGTCAAGTGTGCTATAGCCCTGTTTTCTATTCTTGCCTGTTTTTTGTTTTGTTTTGTTTTTTTTTTTTTTTGTCCTTTTAATTTTCTCAGATTGAAGTAGAGGGAAGTTTATATTCAGACCATGAGCTTCGTGCTTTAGATGAAGCCCAGCAACTGGCAAAGAAGAAAGCTGACTTGTATGATGAAGAAGGAGATGAACGGAATATACTGCTGGTGCAGGATTTGGAAGATGCATGGGAGCAGAAGTTCCTACAGTTCAAACCTGGAGCTCGTATAACAGGTTTGTGGTCATTTTAGGCCAGCAAGAGAAAAGGAAAAGGCGGGTATTTTGGTTTTCAGACAAAGGACATTTGCTTAGCCCCTGCTTTGTATTTTAAGTAGCAGATGGTTGCAAAACTTCTTTCAGGTGGGAGAAAAAGAAAGTCTTTTCCCTGCTCCTCATTTCCAGCTGAATAGAATTTTTAAAGGCTGGTGTTATTTTTGAGTGGGAGGTAAGGGTGTTGGGATAACCTATTCTTTCTCAGTTAAACTTCATGAATGTATCTGAGTTTACTTCCTAGTGTGGGGGTGAGAGTGGGGGGAAAAGCAAGCCTTTCCCGCTAGTTTTCTGCGTGTCATCTGAAATCTCTCCCAGAGCAGAGGATTGAGTTCTCTTATCTCAGATGAAGACCAAAGAACAGAGAAAGTGGGGCCAAGTTAAGTCAGTAATAGTGTCAAAACGAGTGAAGTCGTAGTGTTTGAAGTAGTGTGGGTATAGCTTCTTTTCCAGAGGCTCAAAGTACCTACACAAGGTAGTGCTCTTCAAAGGAGAAGTTCAGCTTTTGGTTTTCTCTTCTTACATTGTAGTTTTCTTAAGATTGTGAGACTCTGCCCTGAAAGAGGTCTGAATTAGAGGGATGGGTCAGGGTTGTAATTTGATTTTAAGATGGTAAAGGTTGTAGCTCTACCTTAAAGGAAGACTGTAAAACTGTTCTCCTTGGTTCTGGCAGATCACAGTGTTTTTGTCTTCTCTGGTCCCCTTTTCTTCATAGAAGCCGATAAAAAGAATGACCGAACTTCACTGAACCGGAAGCTAGATAGGAACCTTGTTCTGTTGGTCAAAGAGAAGCTTGGAGACCAGGATGTTTGGATGCTTCCCCAGGCAGAGTGGCAGCCCGGGGAGACCCTCCGAGGAACAGCGGAACGAACCCTGGCCACGCTCTCAGGTGAGTTCTCTGCCTCTCTCTGAACCTCACAAGACTCCTTTCACACTCAGCTGTGGAATTTGCAGACCAGCTTGTGATGATGGCTGGAAGGATTTGGAGGTGGGTTGTTAATGGGAACTTTGATATCTATAAAAATTTCACCTAGAAAAAATTTTAGGTCAGGTGGGAGTCTTTGTCCCACTGAGATTTTTAAATCGCCTGGGTGGCTCAGTGGGTTAAGCCTCTGCCTTCGGCTCAGGTCATGATCTCAGGGTCTTGGGATCGAGCCCCGCATCGGGCTCTCTGCTTAGCAGTGAGCCTGCTTCCTCCTCTCTCTGCCTGCCTCTCTGCCTACTTGTTATCTCTCTCTCTCTCTGTCAAATAAATAAATAAAATCTTTAAAAAAAAAATAAAATGAAGCAACATCATTTCAAGTCTCTATTCAAAATTCTCCAACGGCTGTCCATCTCACCTAGAGTCAAAGCTGGAGTCCTCACGAGGTCCTACGAGCCGGAACAGATGCAGCCGCAGGTATCGGCTGCACGACTCATCCCCATCCCCTGCTGCACGCCTCACTCCACGCTGACCTCGCTATTCCTCCCAAACACTAGACATATACACTCCCACCATCTGTCATACCCTCAGGTTTTACATGTTTTCTCCTCACTGCCCCCTAACCACTAGAATTTAAGTTCTACAGGGGCAGGGTATATGGGGTGTATGGTCACTGATGTGTCCCTAATGCCTTAAACAGCACCTGACATTGCTGAATGACCCCAACAGGATCTTGGCTTGAATTGTTTCAGCAGCTTCCCCACTGTTTATCGTGGAAGAGTCTGAAAGCCGCACTGTTACAGGTAAGACCCTCAGCCTTCCGACTCCTTCTTTTGCTGGCCTCATCTGCCATCAGGCACACACCTGAATATACCATGTGCTTTCACAATGCATGCCTTTACACAGAATATTAGCTTTGCCTAAAATTATCCCTTTCATGTTGTCCAGCCTAACTCCCGTTCAATTCAGTTCTTAGCTCCACATTATCTTCCTGGCAGTCTTGCCTGACTTCCTCAGGAGTGAGACACTCATTCCTTCATACTTCCTAGCAACCAGTTCTTACTCCAGCACACTACCGACCAGATTATGCCGAAAATGCTTGCATGACTGTCTTCCTCTGTAGCCTGTGACCTACTGGTGGGGAAAGAATGATCTTTTGTATTTGTACTCCCAGCACCTAGCACAGTACCTGGCACCAAACAGGTTTTCAGTAAACATTTGTTGAATGGATGCGAATGAACATAGGGGTAGCAGCACTGATGGAAAGCAAGGGACCGGTCCCTAGGGGTGAGCACAAAAACCACCCTGCCCCAACTCAATAATCTACACCGCGGTGTAGCACCCCCTGCTCCCCCAACTCCCATTTTATATCCAAGGCGCAGGGAAGGTTGTTAGTCTGCCATGACACCCCTCTCAGAGGGAAAAAGGTGACATTTACTATACACCTCCGACATTAACTCATTCATTCATCTAACTGTTCACAGAGCGCCCACTTTGTGCCAAGGCTCATCTCATTTGATCCTCGCAAACTCTCTCGGCATCCTCTCCATTTGTAGACGAGAAAGCCGGGGCTGAGGCTAATCTGCGTTAGGGTCCCAAAGACGTCAAGTGGCAGAGTTGGGAATTCACCGGTTGTCGGGCTCCGGACGGCGGTGCCGGTGTCCAGAGGGCTGGGCTTAAGAGGCCCTCACCTGAAGCTGCTGCGGCTCGGAGCCGGAGCCGGAGCCGCCGCCGCCGCCTTCTCCTCAACCTCCTGCTTGGCCGCCGCGTCTTGCAGCTGCTGGGCGCCGGTGTGGATGGTGGAGGCTGGCGCCCGGGCCACGACCCTGCGGGGAGGGAAAGCTCGGTGAGGTCCAGGCGGCTCAGGGACACAGGCAGGAGCGCAGTCGCGGGGATGACCGTGCGTTCGGGAAGGGGCTGGTGATCATTCTTACCTGGGCGTCGGTGGCCAACCCCAAGACCGCAAGAGCCAAGACCCCGTCTTTCGTACCACCTGCATGACTTGGATTGACCCCCGTCAGCTGCCGTCCGCGGCGACCTCGGGGGTTGGCGCAGCTGGAGCGGCACCAGCACCTCGAGTGCTCGTGGGGGGGGGGGCGTACAAGGAAAATCGTCTCATTCCTCTCCTTGAGATCCATTAAAGATTTTCTATTCCTATTTAAATGCTCTGCAATAATTGTCGTTTCGAGTGCTAACTGGGAGTTTCTTTTCTTTTCTTTTTTTTTTAACTGGGAGTTTCTTCCCTTTCCCCTAAACTTTTTCGCCTTCCCCTCCATATTGGAGTGGTTCGTTCTGGTAGTTCCCGGGACAGAACTCTTCCGCCTGCCGCTCTCGCGCTGCCTTGTGGGAACATGGGATTGGCCCAGGACCCCGCAGGGAGCCGCGGTACATTGTGGGAGGGCAGAAGAATGGCGGCGCCCATAAGGCAGTCTCTGTTTGGGGTGGCGAAGGGCTGGTGGCGGTTCGAGGGGCTCTGGGCCGGTAGCCTGGGTTCTCGCAGCCTAGCCCTTGCGGCTGCACCCTCGATCAGCGGGTCTCCATGGCGTCTTTTGGGCGCGGTGTGCCTGCAGCGGCCACCGCTGGTCTCGAAGCCGCTGACCCCATTGCAGGAAGAGATGGCGGCTCTACTACAGCAGGTAGGATTGAAGTGCGGCTAGCGGCTTCAAGGTGCTGTTGGGGAACCAAGAGAAGCACGTGGGCCAGGGTTCGATCCCGTCTCCGGCACCAGTCTCAGTGACCTTGAGCAAGTCATTTCACCTCTCTGAACTTCAGCGTACTCAACTTGCGCAACGGTATCTACCTTACTGGATGGGTTTGGTACATAGAAGGTGTTCAGTAAAAGTTCGTTTTCATTGGGATTTTTTGTTGTCACGCCAGGCAACTCTGTAGAGTTGCTTTTCTTTCTCACTGAATATGGTAGGTACGCGGTGCTGAACAAGACGGCTTAGTTCCTATCGCAGGTAGTCTGAATGTCTGAAATTTAGAGTCTGATGTGTTTTAGGAGAATATAATGGGCACACATATAAGATGACTGTGATAAAGTTTGTGTGTGAGGGGCAAGTGAGGAAACAGGGGCAAATACTCAGTGTGGGGACTGTGAGGGGCTTAAATCCCCATTGACAGTGATTGAAGGTTGTTTCTGTAGAATCTGAGATGTTTTTTGTGTTGGCTGCTGGGAGCTCTAAACTTCACTTCCTGCTTTTTACTTGGCTCATTAACTTATTCTGCAAATAGTTGATTAATCATTTTATTGATAATCATTTATCGCCTATTTTGTATAGACACTGTGCTAAGTGCTAGGGACGAGTAAGACAGATAAGCCTTTGGTTCTCAGAGTGTTCAGTCTAGTGGAGGTGGGCGGGTCAATAACCAAATAATCACATGATTGTATAACTGCAGACCCTGGTAAGTGTAATAAAGGAAGACACAGGGTACTATAAAAGATTTTAACCGGGACATCTAATTTGATTTTGTGGCTGGTGTCCAGAAATACCCCCCAAAGAATATGGTACTTAAATTGAAATCTGAAGGATGCGTAGCAATCTCCTCGGAGAAGAGCATGAAGGAAAACATTCTAGGAAGAGGGAACAGCATCTGTAAACTCCCTGAGGAGTTTGGTGAGATCAAGGGCTGACAGGGCTGGAGTGTGGTTAAGTGGGCAGGCGGCGCCCCTCCCAGTTCTCTGTTCTTTGTAGCAGCTTGACCTCCAATCACATTCTAACATTTTAGCAAATGTAACTCAAGCCCAAAGTGCAGATGACTGTTTTTCTTTCCTTTTATTTTCCTGTGGTCTTTTAATTGTATGTCTGGTTATGCTGGGTGATGTGTCAAGTGTGCTATAGCCCTGTTTTCTATTCTTGCCTGTTTTTTGTTTTGTTTTGTTTTTTTTTTTTTTTGTCCTTTTAATTTTCTCAGATTGAAGTAGAGGGAAGTTTATATTCAGACCATGAGCTTCGTGCTTTAGATGAAGCCCAGCAACTGGCAAAGAAGAAAGCTGACTTGTATGATGAAGAAGGAGATGAACGGAATATACTGCTGGTGCAGGATTTGGAAGATGCATGGGAGCAGAAGTTCCTACAGTTCAAACCTGGAGCTCGTATAACAGGTTTGTGGTCATTTTAGGCCAGCAAGAGAAAAGGAAAAGGCGGGTATTTTGGTTTTCAGACAAAGGACATTTGCTTAGCCCCTGCTTTGTATTTTAAGTAGCAGATGGTTGCAAAACTTCTTTCAGGTGGGAGAAAAAGAAAGTCTTTTCCCTGCTCCTCATTTCCAGCTGAATAGAATTTTTAAAGGCTGGTGTTATTTTTGAGTGGGAGGTAAGGGTGTTGGGATAACCTATTCTTTCTCAGTTAAACTTCATGAATGTATCTGAGTTTACTTCCTAGTGTGGGGGTGAGAGTGGGGGGAAAAGCAAGCCTTTCCCGCTAGTTTTCTGCGTGTCATCTGAAATCTCTCCCAGAGCAGAGGATTGAGTTCTCTTATCTCAGATGAAGACCAAAGAACAGAGAAAGTGGGGCCAAGTTAAGTCAGTAATAGTGTCAAAACGAGTGAAGTCGTAGTGTTTGAAGTAGTGTGGGTATAGCTTCTTTTCCAGAGGCTCAAAGTACCTACACAAGGTAGTGCTCTTCAAAGGAGAAGTTCAGCTTTTGGTTTTCTCTTCTTACATTGTAGTTTTCTTAAGATTGTGAGACTCTGCCCTGAAAGAGGTCTGAATTAGAGGGATGGGTCAGGGTTGTAATTTGATTTTAAGATGGTAAAGGTTGTAGCTCTACCTTAAAGGAAGACTGTAAAACTGTTCTCCTTGGTTCTGGCAGATCACAGTGTTTTTGTCTTCTCTGGTCCCCTTTTCTTCATAGAAGCCGATAAAAAGAATGACCGAACTTCACTGAACCGGAAGCTAGATAGGAACCTTGTTCTGTTGGTCAAAGAGAAGCTTGGAGACCAGGATGTTTGGATGCTTCCCCAGGCAGAGTGGCAGCCCGGGGAGACCCTCCGAGGAACAGCGGAACGAACCCTGGCCACGCTCTCAGGTGAGTTCTCTGCCTCTCTCTGAACCTCACAAGACTCCTTTCACACTCAGCTGTGGAATTTGCAGACCAGCTTGTGATGATGGCTGGAAGGATTTGGAGGTGGGTTGTTAATGGGAACTTTGATATCTATAAAAATTTCACCTAGAAAAAATTTTAGGTCAGGTGGGAGTCTTTGTCCCACTGAGATTTTTAAATTTTCTTTCTTTCTTTCTTTCTTTCTTTCTTTCTTTCTTTCTTTCTTTCTTTCTTATATAACACATGGGTCTTATTGATGGTAGAAAAAATAATTCTTTCACTTATAAAAAATATGTGTTTTATTGAACTCTGTATTTTTTTCCCATCCTTTGTGTGGGTTGAGTCCCCCCCCCGCCCCTTAATCTACTTTTTCATTCACCAAGTAATAATATCCACTACAGCAGCTGCTGCTTCTGAAAGGAAAGCAGGTGGTCTGTCAACAGGTTTTGATCTGGCAGTTATAGTCAGTGGCTCCTTTCTTCATGAAGACTCTGCTTGGTCTTAGTTCCAAGCCCGGGGGAGGTTGGCGAAGCTGCTGGATTGGTTGAAGAGATCCTCTTGTTGGGTCTTTACTTCCTGTGCAGAACTAAAGAGTGTGGTTTTAGGTCCTTCCTCCTCCCGTGCCTCTCTTTGAGCAGGTCACTGCTGCTTAGGGCCCTTCGTGGCTGCCTCACTGAGCAGCTGCTGTCGTACCTGAAGGATGGAGAGCTTCAGTTTCTGCTCAGTCAGCCATGTCTTCCCGACAAAGTACAGAACTTTCACTTCCAGGTTTCCACAGTTTTGCATATTCCATAGGAATAGATGATTCTAGTTCCTTTTTGGGTTTAATTGGGCCACATCTTCCCTTGAGCCCGTGATTGTAAGATATTTCATTGTCTTGGGTAGCCATCGCGGGTCCTGCTGACTCCATGGGTCCCACTTACCTTCCCGTTAGTGGCATTTCTGTCTCTGGCAGAACTAACCGTTCAGACAGGATTCCCAACCATCAGCATTTACAGTAAAATGTTTTTCAGTTTCTACACCACTAAAAACTTCGTTATTTATTGTTCGTAAAAATGATCAAGATTTGCTGTTTGGTTTTATCTTTTCTCACGTTTTTGATTACTTTAATCTATGGATTACTTGAGGAAGTGGATTTTATTTCACCTCGGCATAGGATGGATCTTTTCCTGATCTACTCTGCATAGTTACCCTTTTTAATTTTTTTAAAGCAACATACTGTACTGAGAACTTGAAAGTGTGTTTAGTTCTTTCATATATGGAATATGACCCGTCACTCCTGATTTCTCTTTAGCCCATACTTCAGATGCTGAAGGAGTACTTGGTGTCTCAGAACATCTCTGTCTAGGTAATCCACTGCCTTCTCAAACTGATTTTGAATTTTGAGTCTCTCTTTGAAAAGGAGGACATTTTTCATTTCTTGGCTGTCTGGTGTCATTTTGAGGAAGACATCTTGTGACTCAGTATTTGACACTCTCTCATCCCTGATAAAGCTCTTTCTGCTCTGATTTAGGTTCTGCCCCAGGGCCCAGCGCGGGCAACCAACTGGAAGGTGCCTCCTAGACTTTCTATGAAAGAGGCTTATTTGCTTATCTTAAAATGGTTGGCTTGAGGGGCAAGCGTTCAGTTCAGCACACATCTCAGGGTCTGCTACAATACTGTCCGGGGAGGCAGGCTGGCAGGCGCCGTCCCCATGCTCTCCCTGTCCCTTGCTGAGATTGAAAAATCAGTGTGTACTCTCAAAATTGACAGTCCTCCCACTCTCAGCCTTTGCCTCTTGTCCCCGCGGCCTTGCTTACTGGCCTGACAACGCATTTACCCAACTAGAAACCTCAGGATCTCTTGACCTCATTCTGACATCCTGAAGTTCTCAGGTCCCTCCTGGTCTGTTCTAAATATTTCTTTTTTTATTCCCACAGCATTAGCTGTCACCCTTTTGCCAGATTAGGTTTTCTCATCCTTGGCACTGTTGACATGTGGGGCCACGTAATTCCTTGTGGGGGCTGCCCTGAGCATTGTGGGATGGCCGGCTGCATCTCCGGCCTGTGCCCACTAGGTAACAGTGGCGCTGGCCCATCTCCACTCCCCTTAGTGTAACAACCAGAATTGTCCCTAGACATTGCCAGATACTGCCTGGGAAGTGAAGTCACAGTGGTTGAGAACCATGGCACTGGACCTTTGAAGTAGGTGCCAAATAAGTTCCGTTTTGCCTTCACGTCGTGCCCCTCCGTGCTGCCGGAGTGAGTTTTCAGACACATCCCCTGTCGTGTCTCTGCCTAAAGGGTTTCCCGTAGAAGTTCAGGCTTTCGAGCACGGCCTACAAATCCATTTGCTCTGGTCCTGAGCTTGCCAGTCTTCCGTCTGTCCGCACACTGATGCGTAGTCTGAGTTCAACCGAGCAGACCTTCTGCATTCCTCCAGTAATGTGGTCATTCGTGCGTCTCTTGTGGCATGCTGGCCTCTGACGGGAACGGTTTGCTCCTCCTCGGTCTGATGACTCTGTTTTGAAGACTCAGCTTGTACGTTATACATTCTGTGCTGGAACCTTCTCCAAGCCTCCAGGTAGACAGAGCTACTCCTCCCTCTAGGTTCCGGTAGCATTTGTGTGTGCGTTTGTTCACCTTCTGCAACGAACGTTTACTCTGAGCCTCCCATTTGCTGGACACCGTGCAGGCAGTAGGGTCACAGATGAACAGGACACCACCCCTGCTCCGTGGGAGCTCACGTTCCAGGGGAGAACACCTCTTTCACTTACTGCAGTGCCCAGTAATCGGTGTTTGGCACATTTCTCCTCCCAGCTAGAATTCTGACTCCCTTGGAGGTCCAGACAGCATCTGTTCCTCCCCATCATCCCAGCTCTCCGCAAAGTGCCTGGCTCACCGTAGTGCTCGCGAAATGTTTATTGGGCATGTAGATTTGGCAGAACAATGCTGCTCCATTGGCCCCGTTACCAGCACAAGCACCTGCTAACAAAGCAGCGGCCGCTGTGTGCCCCCTTGCTCCTTGCCCACAAGGGGCCTGTGTGGCCTGTGAGAGCGGGAGTGAGACGGGATGGAGTGGGTGGGGACCTTCCCCGCGCTCCCGTGGCCTCTGCTGTCCCCTAGGAGGTGGCGTCTGGGTTTCTCACCGGGATCACTGTTCAGATGCTCAGCTTCCCTCACACACATGGCAGACGCTCCGTTCTCCCTCCACATGTGCCACGTGGAATGGGTTTCTACCGCGGAACCCAGTGTCCTTGTAATGTTCCTGCTGTAATAAATAGATGTGAATGGAAAGCTGTGAAAGAGATTTTGACATTAAACAGGAGCATAACAAATAAAACGTGTTCGTTTATTGCAGAGTTATTAAAATGGCAAATAATAGAAAATAATTAAAATGGCAAAGAAGAACTCAAGAAATGTAAAAATGTGTGTATGTACATCTGTGTGTGTGTGTGTGTGTGTGTGTGTGTAAGAGTCCTTTTATTTCCTCCCCGTTGGCACCTCTCTTCCTTAGTCCTGCAAGATGGAATTCCTTGAGGTGGAATTAATGGTCAGGGAGGGACACATTGACGTTTTCCATGGGTCTTGCCCACTTGTCCTGCAGAATGTACATACCGTTGGGCATTTTCAGGAGTGGCATAGAGAAGTGTGCATTTGTCTCAACCCCACCGACACATGGACGAGTCTTTTTAATTTTTGCCTGTCCAAGTCACTACAAAATGATCTCTTTTGGATTCGCATTTTCCTGATTGTTAGTGAGATTGACCATATTGTCATGTGTTTATTGGCTACGTGTATTTCTTTGTGACTCTTTGCCCCGTTTGTAATGAACTGTTCCTTTTTTCATCTTGATTTAACCATATTTTTTAACCCTTTTTTCCAGATAATAGAAAAATAGAAAAAATTTTCCACATAATAAAAAAAATAGGAAAATAGAAAAATATTCAGTGAAATAAGTAGAAAATTCAGGAAAGTATAAAGAAACTTGCCAGTGTAATTCCACCACTCACAGATACGTTCTGCTGGCATTTTGTGTTATAGGTGAGCTCACATATCAATTCCTCCTCTGATGCCAATAGTATTTTTGTTTTGGTTCTGTTTTTGTTTTTGATAGTATTGAGAGAAGCAATTTGTTATATATGGTGAAAAAAATGATCAAAATAGTATTTAGCGAATGTAAGATAGGGTGAGAAGTGATTTTCCCATTTCAGAGGCATCTCTTGTTAACAGTTTCTGGTGTATTCTTTTATTTTTAGTTTATTTAATTTTTTTGGTATATCTTTTTTTTTCTTTTTTTGGTATATCTTTTTAGAAATTACAAGCACACACATACTTCATCTGTTTTTTTCTCCCCCATATGGAGCCCGGTTATATACCTTCATTTCTCTTCTGTGCGGCATTTAAGCATCTCTGTATCAGCGTGTGACCCCAGCATAGATCTTATAATATGCCTGTGCTGCAGTTCACCTGTCTGTTGCTTTTACAAATAAGCTGTAATGAATGTCCTTGTGTACTCATCTTCGCTTACACAGGCAGAGAAACATATCTGGGAGGCTCAGGTTCTAGAAGCAGAGTCGCTGGTTGAAAGGGTTCGCGGAATTAAAACTGGTGACTCTTGCCGAAGAGGGCAGTTCACGCTAACCTCTCCCCCGTGATGGTGTGAGAGGGCCCATTTTTCTCTTGTCCTCGACAAGCAGAGGACAGCTCAGAGTTTTGGGACTTCAGTAATAACGACGTCTGAATTTATATTTTTTTTAGTTGTTAATAAGGTTGAGCATCTTTTAAGGAGTTTATAGGTCAGTGATGTTTATTTTTCTGTGAACTCTAGGTTCATATACTTAGTTCACTTTTCTTTTAGAAAGCTTTCTTTCTAAAACTTTTTCCTCATTGATTTCTCATACTTAAACCTGATGACACTCTTCCTTTGTGGAGTGTGTTGAAAATATTTTCCTTAGTGTGCCATTTTGTCTTTGACTTCTTATGCTTCGTTTTTCCTTGTTGAAAGATTTAGTTTTATGTAAATAAACACTTTTTTCTCTTACTGGTTTTTAAAATTTCGTGTCTTGGTGAGGGCTTTCCCTCTCAAAAATGATACAGAGAGTATCCCACATTTTTTCTAGTACTCTTCTGGGTGGTTTTTTTTTTTTTTTCCTTTAATGAAAAATTTGAAAATACAAAGAAATTCAGAAAGTATTAAACATCCATGAAACCATCATCCAGAATACCCAGCCTTTTTATGAAAGTGAAATTTCTGTTGTTCCGTCTTTGATCCGTGTGGTATCCGTTCTGAAGTGAGGACTGAGGTGGGTGGAATCCAGCTTTATTTTTCGTGTCTAGCGGGCGGCTTCCCAAGGGCTGGACTGATCTGTCCTTCCCCCTTCCTTTGAAATGGCTTGGTTGTGATTAACCCTTTGTTACAGATTCTAGATAACATCCAACCATCTGTCTTTGTCTTTTAACTTTGGTTATGATGTTTTCACCCCACAGAAGTCAAATTGGGTCCTTTTTATGCTTTTCAAATGACAGTCCCCATGAAAGGCTAATGAGCTTTGCTTTACAGATACTGAGTGTCTTGGTCCTTCATCAGCAGACCGTGGCCATTGGCTGGGCTGAGTCTAGAAGCTTGGGGCTCTGACTCCAGCGAGTGGTCTCTGAACAGCATCGCTGACTTCAGTCCGAGAGCAGTAGCTTCGCACACGGGATGGATCCAGTGAATCTGGAGCCCGTGAGCCCATGGACGGAGAGTGGGGAGAGCCTCCTCAGGAACAAACCTTGTCTTCACTCTCCGGGATTGCTTTACCTCAGGCTGGAAATGGCTCTCAGACCCCCGCTGCCTGGGGGAGCCGGAGTAAACAGGTGGGTCCATCCTCATCTTCCCTGTTCACCTCTCCCCTTCAGAAAACAACCTGGAAGCCAAGTTCCTGGGAAATGCCCCCTGTGGCCACTACAAGTTCAAGTTCCCTCAAGCAATGCGGACAGAGAGTAGCCTCGGGGCCAAAGTATTCTTCTTCAAAGCACTGCTAGTAACTGGAGACTTCTCCCAGACCTGGAAGAAGGGCCAGCACGTCTGGGTCTGTAAGGAGGAGCTGGGCGACTATTTGAAGCCCAAGTACCTGGCCCAGGTTAGGAGATTTCTCTTGGACCTCTGATGGTTGGTGCGGCCTGTGGACATTATGTGCTTGTCCCATCTTTGTAGGGAACAGCACGCAGCCAACTAAATGCAGAGAAATAAATGAGTTTATCATTGTGTGGGTCTTGGCTGATTTGTTCTTTAAGGATGACTGGCTTTTCCCCGTGCAGAGAGAGCGGTCTCTTAGGGTGTCTTTCCCTTGTTTCCAAGCTGATAGTTGAGTGTTGCATTGCCTCACAGTGAATCAGCTTCCTGGAGGCAGAAAGAGAGAACTGAAGGAAATGAATTGACCTTCTAAAAGCCCTGAGGTCTGTGAAAGCTCTGAGGCTCATGCGAAGAAACTAGTTCTATGTAGTTCCTTAGTCATGAACCATTTTGTATTTTCCTCCCTTTGTACTTGACATGAAAGTGTATCAGCCTAGCCTAGGAAATAATTTCTTCCTTTTTTCATCTCTTTTCTTTCTTTTTTTTTTTTTTTAAAGATTTTATTTTTATGAAAGTGAGAGAGAGCATGCATGTCACAGTGGGGGGCATTGCGGAGGGAGAGGGAGAAGCAGATTGCCCTCTGAGCAGGGACCCCTGTGTGGGGCTCCGTCCCAGGACCCCGAGATCATGACCTGAGCCAAAGGCAGATGCTTAACCCACTGAGCCACCCAGGTGCTTCCTTTTCTTCTCTTTTCTTTTTTTCTCTTTTTTTTTTCCCATTCTTTTTTTTTTTTTTTCTTTTTAAGCATTTAGTCCTATCTGTTTTGAAACAGTTGTGTGAAATAATCAGGGTCCGATTGTCCTCTCCGTTTTACAAATGGGGGATCATGGCCAGATGGGACTCGGCTAAGAGTCTTCCATCACGCATGGTACAGGAGGAGAAGGCTGATTTCTCGCTTCTGGGCTGGGGCTCTTGATTCCTCCCTGTATTGCTGGAGTCATCAGTGGTCCCAGTGCCTGGCGCGGAAGGCACTCAGTGAACATTTGCTAAAAGAGTGGGAGGGAGGGAGAGTCTGAGGCATGTCTCTGTCTGCGTCTTTGCTGGATGGTGGTTCTGGTAGCACGGCTGCGTCCCGGATCCCAGCTTCCTGGTTTCCACTCAGCTGGCCTATGTGATGGAAGCCGGTGAAATGGGATTTCTGTTTCTGCTTCAGAAGTAGCCTTGTGGTCCCACTCAGGGTCGGGGAAGTTGCTTTCTGTGATCAAAATTGAGGTTCCTGGTCCTGATACTCCCTGCTTCCCCTGTACCTTCTCGTTGCAGAGGGGGGACATCCCTGAGCTGTGGCTTGCTGATTTCACGGGCAGTCGGGCTGCCCTGGGAATGAAACATGGGTCCAAGGAGACGGCAGATGTAGGACCAGGAGTACATTTCTCTTTCTGGGTTTTGGATGAGTCATAGATGTGAAGTATAGTGCGTATTCGCCTCAAGGACCTCCAGTCTAGAAGAGAAGGAATCATCAGAGTGAGGTGGAGACTATTTTCAGGACCGTGATACTGTGATATATAGTAAGAAATAAATATTTGGTCTCTGCACAAAACTCCTAAAACCTGTGGAATTTCCTGTGCTGAGAGCAATCGGTGTTTTTCGTTACGTTAACGAGGTGAGTTTAAGAGAGCCCCTTGGTAACTTAAGGATTGGGGCTGGGTGCCAGGGAAGCCAACCTTGACTCAAGGACTCAAGTCCAACCCCCTGATCTGGGAGGGGAGAGGCTAAAGATTGAGTTCAATCACCAGCGGCCAATGATGGAATCAGTCTTGCCATGAAACGAAGCCTTCATAAAAATCCAAAAGGATGGGTGTTCAGAGAGTTTCTGGAGTTGGTGACCCCTTGGAGATTTGGGGAGAGTGTCACGCTCCAAGACAGCATGGAAGCTCTGCACCCCCCACCCCCACCCCCCACTTTGCCCTGTGGATCTGTTCCTGAGTTAGGTCCTTTTATAATAACCTAGTATTCTAGTAAGTAATATGTTTCTCTGAGTTCTGTGAGCCATTCTAGCAAAGTAATTGAACCCTAGTTGGAGGGGGGTTGTGGTCCTTGGAACTTCTGATTGAACCTCTTGTTCAGAAGCACAGGTTCCTGGACAGGTGATTGGCTTCTGATGGGTTGGGGGCGTGGGGGGGGTGTCTTGTAGGACTGAGCCCTAAACTTGTTAGATCTGAGGCTCTCTCCAGGTAGATGGTGTCAGGATTGAGCTGAATTGTAGGACAGCCAGCTAGTGTCTGAGAATTTCTTTGTGTGTGGGAAGAACTCACACATTGGAATTGGTACCAGAATCTTAATGACTGTTTTTAAGATGCTTTGGGTATAAAGTTGTTTCTTTAATGGGAAATAACATATACAATTGGTAAAGAGAGAAATGGTGTCAGGATAACCAGAAATTAAGTTAATTCCTGTAACATTTTCCCCAGAACGTTAATATTTTGAAGTGATCAGGGACCAGATTGAATTACCTTAAGAAAAAAAGCCGCACATTTTATAGAAGTGCCTTCCTTTATTACGAATAGTGGCTGGTTTAGTAGCTTCAAAAATCACTATTAGCGTCTCCACTGTGTTAGGCTGTCTAGGGAAATGGAGTGGAAAGACTGATGCTGGGAAGGCACCACCCTCCCCTTTGTTTTACAAAATTGATGAAGAAGGTCCCTTCCTGGATCACGTTTTTTATTTTGATGGAACTAGTCTCTGCGTGTCAGGAAGAAGCATGAGCCCCAGGAGTAGAGGCACAAGGACCAGTGCGCATGGCCAGTGGGAGTTTAACTGCAGTTCTGTCGCTGGGCTTGGTTCTGTTTTATTTGTGCTCTGGCCTCAAAATCCCATAGTTTCTGTGTGGTCTGCCCTAACCCCCTTTTCCCAGAAGCCCTGCTATTTTTGGAGTGTGATTTTACAGAATGCAGTCTTGTTTGGCATTATGGTCAAAATGACTGAATATTGCTGAATGCCAGCCTGAATCTTCCACTGGCTGCCAAACATGACCAAGAGCTTGTTCCTAGTGTATCCTCTGGGAGAAGATCACCAGGAACCAAGAGGTGATGTTCTCTGTGTTTCAGGGGATGGGCACCTTCCAAGAAGATGGTGGGAGGAAGAAAGAGTAAGTTGTGAAAGGTGGGAATTAGGAGTTGCGGTTTGAGGTATGCTGGTGCACCCTCAGAAGAAAATGCCAGTGTGTGTGTGTGTGTGTGTGTGTGTGTGTGTGTGTGTGTGTGTGCGCGCGCGCGTGTGTGTGTGTAAGACACTAAAACAGACTACCCAGCTCACTAGAAGCTTCCTTTCAAAGTTTAGCTCCCTCCTGGTCCCTGCCTTCCCTAGTGATTTCTAGTCACTTTTATTTTTTACCTTTGCTGGTACTATGGGAAAAAATATCGCCATTCTTTTGGACTTGTTTTCCTGGTAACTTCTCCGTAAGAGTACCTCCTGGTGTGCCTTTTCTGTACCATGTACATGCTTCTAGACTTAGCACTTTACAGGACAATGAGTTCTTTGGCTCCCACACCTAAAACTTCCAGATCCTAGGGAAGAGCCTGCCTCAGTGGCCACACTTTAAAAAAAAATCCCCCTGAGCACTGAACTTGGGAATCAGGAAACCTGGGTTTGAATTTGTTTTATGACCCTGGGCAAGTGTCAGCTGAGAAGGCATTCACTGAAAATGGAAGCAAACAGGAGTTTTGGTTGGGCATTTAGTTCTGCCATTTGGGATACCCAGTCCCAGGCCAAAACCTCACCGCGCATCCTGAGGAAGACAAGGAAGGGGCTGAGCGAAAAAGGCCAAAGGTGGCAAGAACCGCTCTCATTCAGGGCCTCTATGCGAATTGGGGATTGAAACTAGGTTAATGCAAATGAGGGGTTGAACTGGCTCTTTTCAAAGTGAAGAATGGAAATGATTCAGGGGTGGTGAGTAAGGGAAGTCCATGCCCAAGGCTTGTAGCTGGGAAGAAGTTTCTAGTTCTCTGCTGAGGGATGAGGGCGGGCCCAAGTTCCTCCACCCTTGTGGCCTCCCAACCCTATTTTAAAAGACAGGCTCTAGGCAGTGGGTTGAGCCTCTCACTCTCGCCCTTTGATTTTGGGTCTGGTCATGATCTCAGGGTTGTGGGATGGAGCCCCCCTTGGTGCTCTGTGCTCAGCACTAAGTCTGCTTCTCCCTTTCCCTTTGTTCCTCCTGGCCCCATCCCCTCCCGCCCCCCCCCCCCCCGCCCCCGTGTGCATGACTTTCTCTTTCTTTTGCAAATAAATGAAATCTTTAGAGAAATAAAAGACATTCTCTCAACTAGGCTTGCTTGCTCTATCCTGAAATCTTTTACACAAGTTACTAGTACTGTCCCTATTGGCTGAGCAGAGAAACAGTGCTAGGGCCCCTGCCCACAGCATACGTTTCTATCTAAACCAGTAGGGCAGGCAACATTAGCCCTAGTTTATAGAGGAGAAAACAGAGAGATTAGTTAACTTGCTTAGGGTGGCTCACTGTAAGGCATGGGATCGGCGTTTGAACTCAGATCTGTGCACAAAGCCAGTTCTTAAGTTTTCTTAACTTTACCTTCCTCAACTGTAAGAGGAAGATGATCGTCTTTCTCAGGTAACGTGATCATTTAGTGAGAACACCTCGCGCCTGCGCGTGGCTTGTTGTGAACGCTGAGCAGATGTTCGCCCCGTCCAACGTATTAGGCTCCTGACTTCTCCCGAACCTACCTTGATCATCCTCACCTTTTCCAGGTGATACCTTGTGGCAACCAAGCGTTTCTGACCTATCTGGACAGGGACACGGGAAATCGTAGATTAATGGATTCCAGCAGCCCATTTCAAAATGGGTGGGTGGCAGGTCAGTCCCCTAACCACATCCAGCTGGATGGGCACGCCAGCCCTGTCCCACCCTGGGCCCGGCAATCCAGAGCCATTGGTAGGCACTGGCCAGTTGAGTACTAACACTGGAATGGACTTGTGGACCCCTTTACTACCCCGGGAGGGGGAAAAGCAGAGCTAAAAGGTCAGCGACCCAATTATTAAGAGGTCACAGATTACTAAGCTGCAATCACACACAGCGAGATAAAGGCTGTTTGCCTAAAATCTTGGGGCAGCCTCTGTCCCCCCTTCTCTGCTGTATTTCCTAGAAGCCTGGGTGATAGCCAGTCCCTGCGGGCTATCA